ACAAAGGTCACAATGCAGTAAAATCCTGCTTAGGAGAATGACCCCACTGGGCTGATCTACACGTTTCTTGTAAGCCCTCATCAGCCAGAGATCTCATGGGTTAAGCGATGGAGGCCAATTTCCTATAGCCTGCTTCTTCCTACTACTCTGCTTCCCAGTTTTTCTGGGGTCCAATGCAGATGTAGATGTTGAGACCCTTAAACTAAGAAAACAGAAAGTGGCTTACAGACTAAAATAATCAGAGTAATGATACATGGCTGAGCAGGGCTTGAATTCAGTGGCTAAATGGCTCATTCCCATCTATATTACAGCAAATGATAAACAATATTGCAGTTTATAAATGTTTTAGCTTCGTAACACTAGTGATAAAATACCACATTTAACTCATCCCAGTCCCAGTGCTGCTATAGCCGATTCCCTCCATCCACCTCTCCCTACCAGGTCCGTGCTGCAGACCCCTTTTTATGTGGTCTGACCTTTGCAGAAAATTAACCAAATTAATTTGGAATTAACCAACTCTTTTATATAGAGGAACTTGCATCTACTCTCTGTGTTATCCATCTGCCATTCTGTACATGAAAGCAGTCATATTTCCAAGTATTTTCTATCCTGGTATTTCTCTTTCTGATCCAGCATGAAAAGCTGTTGGACCAGAGCTGCACAACTGGTGGCCTCCAACCAAACGCAGCCCTCCTGCCATATACTGTGAGCCAACCAGGTCCTGAGATCCCCGGTTCTGCATTCCAAAGGAAACAGCCAAAAGAACTGGGGAGTTGTTAATGCTGCAGGCAACCTTTTCTCATTCCTATGTGCTACCAAATCAAGCAGCAATGCAAGATGGGCAGCTTTTTCCAAAGGATGAAGGGGTTGGGACTGGGGCTAGGGGTGGGGAATCTCAGTTCAAAGCCCCACCAGCTGTCTAGCCCCCTATCTTCCAGCCCATCACAGTGCTGCTGTGATGATAAGGAGGATATGCGACATACAAAAGGAACCAAGAAGCTATTCACAACCATTTTAAGTGTTAAAAAAAAACCTTATAATTCAGTTGCCTGTCAACTTGGCTATTATGTGTGGTTCTATCTGTTCTTCTCTCCAGTACATTTCAAAGCACACAAGAGGCAGGTCTTGCTTCACCTTTTGGACCATGGAATTGACACTGAGACTCAAAGTGAACTAATTTAACCTGAGCTTCTGGAAATATGGAAGGAGCTTCTGGCCTTGAAAATGTCATTTCACCCTCTGTACATCACACAGCTCTCACATCAGATAGCGCTTGCTAAATGCCAGACTGTTAATATGCACATAAAGTTTTGAGTCTGTGAAAAAAAAAATGTATGTGTATATGTGCCTGTGTTGAGCTACATTTCCCTCCCTGCAGATTAAACCTGACAGGTGCTTTGCGTGTCAAAAGGCCCTACAAGTGGGTACAGGAAATGGACGGCACGTGAGGATTTTTGGTTACCCTTCTCTGCTTTGTACTCTAAGTCCAAGTAGTGGCCATACTTGATATGGGCCCTGGAATTCTGTCAGAAAGTTGACACTGCCAAATGTTCTTTCTCTGCCGGTCCCCCTCTCTCACCCATCTTTAGGCACCATAAAGCCTGTCTCCATTTCTGATTTATTGCCCCAATGCTGGCTGGGTGATGCTATCAATCGCTCTGTGCCTGGGAGACTCATCCACTGCCCTGCAGCTTCTTTGTCAAGTTCCTGCGAGAAAGTCAAGAACCCTGAGGGGGGTGGGGTGTCTGTGGAGATGTTTAGGAGAGCTGGGCATGTATTAGAGATGGTAATCCCTTTTAACGTCTTCCCCCTCTTCTGCTCCCAAATGCAGCACTGCTTTCTGAAAAAAAGGACAGTTCTCCCCTACTGCTATACACTCTCATTAATCTTGTTTCCTCTCCGCTTCCGACAACTTATTCCCATCCCTTTGCCTTGGGTACAGTTTCAGCACTGACAGCAGCCAGAGGGTTAAAAATCTGCTAGCCTTCATAATCCTCCCTGCCTTTTCCTATCTCTTTTCCCTCCCTCAGTAAAAGCTGCAAGTAAGGATGGTCATGGACTGCTCTATTTCTGGAGGAGAAAATGTTATCTTTCTTCTCAAATTCTCTTACAAGCTTATTTGGCCTGGCACACCCTCACATACACTCTATTTTCCTTCTTAGTTTTATGGAGATGTGGGCCTTAGCTGACCTGTTGATAGCACCCTTAACTTTAGCTCCCAGTCCACCTTACCAAAGGATTTGACAGTCTTCCTCCATCTTCTCATCTTCCCCTTTTCTGTACTATACAGCATCAAATCAAGTTGCAGTAAAATTGACAAATTTATTTGGCACAGCATAGCTATTCAGCCTGAGCAATGGAGTTTTCTGCAGGAAAGCAATCTTGGAATGCTAAGAATACACCATCAGTTTCTACCAGGAACCTATACATTCATGGCACTTGCACAAGGGAAAATTTTTTGCACCATATTTGGAATATAAAGCCTGCATTGGCATAAAATGAAGGTTTGAAGCAACTTTCACACTTTGGCCTTCATTATTCATGGAGAATCCAACTTTCTGAGTTTAATTGCTAATTTATTTATTCATTAGATAGATTTATATTGCATCTTTCCAATACACTCAGAAAACTCAGGGTAATTTAAATAATTTAAAATTAGTAACATCTAACCAAAATTAAACCTTGAAAACATCTAAAGCAATAGAACCAGAGATTATTAAATACATAAAAATAATTTTAAAAACAAGCACAATATCAATTGCCTGTTACAATTTCGTCAAACCGTAAGGCAAAATAGATATTTTCTCTAATCTATGGAGTGAGAGGACAGTGAGAGTTTTGTCACAGCCACCCTCTTCCCACAAGCACCACTTCAACCCCTTCGCACAGGGCAAGGGATGATCCAAAGAGGACATGCTTACATGTTTGGCTGAACTTACTTAGAAATCCTCTCTGCCATTCGTAATCCCTATCTTGCAGGCTACCCAAACATGAATGCATGGGGGGTGGGGGCAATTCTAGGTATATTCAGCCAAATACAGCAAGGCTCCTACTTTTCCTGTGAAAGACAACCAAGTGTGGAATCAGCGGGGATATGCATGGAGACAGTAGAAGAGCATATCTGTAGCTCAGGGTTGAACTGTGGAGTCCTTGGGGTTCTCTGAGCTTGGTTGTTTGCTTGCAAATGTTTCAGTACCCAGCTCGGTAACATCTTCAGTGCTAGAATCCCTCTCCACTCTAACCCCATTAAAACCCCACTCTCTTCTAGCACGGAAGATGTTACCCAGCTGGGTAACCAAGGACTGCACATGGAGACAGGATCAGCACTGGTATCTCTGCCTTTCCATGCCACACTTCATGAGAACCTACGGGAGGCTTAAACTTCTGGATTAATGTTAAGGGATGCACTGCTCACCCTAACCGCTTTAAAAATCCTTGATATACCTAATGCTCTCAGCAAATGAATTTGTTGAATTTACTATGCTAAACAAATAGAATCGGGTGATATGAAAGCCCTTTCAAAAGTAACCTCACATCTCAGTTTGTCGTGAATGTCATATTAGGGAATTGGCCAAACTCAAATTCATCCGAAAGCAACAGTTGAAATGGGATTCTTTGTCATTTCCCTGGCGATAACAGTGAAGAGGCGCACACAGGCGGGACAGATAGCACCCATCTCTCCTAGCAGCAGCTACTGCCTTAGTGAGGATTTCAGGGGGAAAAAAGGGGCTTCTTCCCTCTCGACCTAAGGCAGCTCACTATTTTGCTCTGTTCTGCAGCAGAGCACTGAGGGTCAATTTAGAAGTGCCTCCAAAGAAAAAGCAAAGATCGGTGGTGGCTCCCTGACCCCCTCCCCGCCCCAGAGCAGTTACAGCTTTATTAGACACAGCTGTGCTCCGCACTGATGGCCCTCTGGCACACCTGCCCAGAGCATAAAAGAAGAGACTGCCCTCCCCCTCCCCACTGAGCACAGACTTTGCATTCAGAGGTGGAGAGATCAGTGAGGGTCAACGCAGCCGTATTTGCAGGCAGGCCAAGTACCAACTCAGAGCACCCCATGCATCACTGCCAGCCAGCGCTGCTGCTAGAGTTCCCTTATCCCTGACAAACCAGATTGCTCCTCATTATTTATGGTTGGGCTTTATTCTCTAGGACATCATGATCCTCTCTCAGGATTTGTGCCCTTTCATTTTCCAGGCTTCAATAACTCCTGAAGTGCAGCTTCATGTGGTTTTGTGATTGTTAACCCAGCATGTGGATGAGGCTCAGGCCATAAATGCTCAATGAATCTTATGTAGCAAAACATAGTCTGCAAAACCATTTTCTCCTTCATTGGCAGTCAGAAAGCACACTGTAGACTCTCCCTCCACTGAGCAAGGTATAAGATCACCAGGTTTTTCCAAAACACACTCAGTACCACCACACCAAATTTGCAGCTCTTTAAGATCACTTTTGGGCCTGACTCTCACAGCATTCTCTGTTTTATTTCTGGGTCTTCTCTGGTCTATTTGAAACCACTACAAAAGCAGAGTTTTCCTTGGAACTGCTGTGGCTCCCACAGGCCTTGTGGATGGACTCAGTTGGCCCTTACTTGCCTTCATTCCAAAGGTTACTCAAGCACAGGGTTCATGGCCCTTATTCTCTTTAGAACTTCTTTCCCCTCCCTCAATCTAGCCACCGCAGCGACCAGCAACTATAGTCACACTTATTGGGCAGAACAGTTGCAAAACAGCATGATTTCCCCTTCCCAACTCACCAAAGTTTCAGAGGCAACAGAAGAAGAGCAACCAGATTACTGGAATATTTCAAGACTTGCTCACTATTTCAACATTTCTCAAGAGAGAAGAAAAATGACTTGGGAAGGGGAATTCATCTTTTGCATCTTGGTGTAAGCTGAACGAAACACCAAAGATGGCCTACAGATTTAGATCTTCCATTCCACTATCAAGATAATTTTTCAGAATTTGGAATTATTTGGGGAAAGGAGGAGAAGCACTTACTTTGTGATTTTTGCCATGCCGGTACATCATCCAATCTTCTCCATTTGTGCTGACCTCCAGTTTGTATGACCGAACATAGTATCCATTCTGTGTTTCTCTAGAGATGGCACCCTGAGTAGCAATGGCCGTCAGCACTGTTAGAAAGCGAAGATCCACCTAATGTTGGGGCAGGGGATGATGACAGAGTAAGATTAGCAACAAAAGACTTACTCCCTTTACCTGAAACATTTAAGGTACTTTCAGATATAATATTCTTGAGGTACTTCAGCAGCCATAAAACTGAATGAGAGTGAAGACCAAGATGAGAGAGAAGTTACTGTCACAAAAATGGCCCATTGTGATGGGACCATTCTAATGTGGGATGCCTTCTAGCTGAACTTCAGAGTTTCTCAGAGAGATATCAACAATACACCCAAGGAGCCTATGGTGCTAAGAGGGTTCTCCAGGACAAACCATGCTAGGATGCAGTTACTTCAGGAGATTGTGTCTGATATGCAAGATTGGTGCCCAGCTGGTATAAATTAGCATGACAATACTTCATACTTAATAGATGCCTCTGATGCAGCTTCAGCATTTGCCACTGGCCATGTCTGGAGTTCCTATTCCATCTAAACGCTGTCCCAGTGTAAGAACTTAATAGGATCAATTTTCAGCTGAGTTAACATTCCTAGATGCAGCAACATATGAGCCATAGAAGGAAATGTTTTCAGTCTGTGGTTTTGTTACAGCTTCCAAAATTGAACAAGAATAGCACATTTTGGAATTGCCTCCCCCACTTCTCTCTATCTCGCTGGATTGGACTGTAAACATTTCTAGGATAAAATCTCACCAGGATTTTCACAAAATGCTCAGCATAACTGTGTTACAGCCTTGGTCGCAAGCAACAATAATAAAAATGTACTGCAGCATTTGAGTGCAAATAACTTGAGCATAAGCAGGCTGAATGCTCCCTTACCAGCGTGCCATTAGTCTTACAGAGTAGAACCTCCCAACGTTTTGCTACATCAGTTGCAGATTTCAACAGCGGGAAAGATATTTTTCTGGTTCAGGCAGGATATGCTGAGCTTGGTAAAGGATTTTGAAACTTTGGTTCTGCTGTTACTGAAGTCAAGCTTAAGCCACAGAATTCTTATCACTGCATCACTTGGCGAGGCCAATTTATACTGGGGAGGGATAATTTTCACCCATAAGATGAAGTTGTGACGTTCAGTTCATGCTTTTCAGAGATGCTTCACTGGCCTGGTTCATACAAGATCACATATGCCAGCCCAGCAATTTAGAACTGGGCATCTTGTAACAAGTGAGGACCTCTTCTTTTTCTAGTGGCAAGTGCCATCCAGTACTTCCCCCTGCAGTCACCAAACTTTGCTACCATCAATTGGTAGGCCTTGCTAAAACATTTTTTTCGCACATTCCTGCTAGAGTTTCCAGTTGGTGCACATTGCAATTCCCCACAATAATAATATTATTCTAGCTATACTGGCTGACACACATGAGAAAGTCCCCTTCTTTTAGATCACTGCAGAGTCAACAAGGCTGTAAGTGGTAGCATGCGTTCCCTCGCTCTCTCCCTGGCCTCTGGAAAGCCTATTAAAGTTCAGGGGGCACCAGGTCAAGCCAAGAACTTCTGCAGGAATGTTAACAGCCCCAACAGTTCATGAAGACAGAGTCACGCGCCCTTTTCCAAACAGCCGTTCAAGCCTCTTTCGCCGCTCTCAGCTTGCAGCAAGAGCAACAGAAGATCCTACAAGGCTCATGTTCTAAGGTTGATTTAGCAGCATGATAATCCATTTGGTTCAAGGGTAAAATATGCACATGAGGTGTGGGGAGGGGTAAGAACATGAAGGTCTAAAGGACAGTCCTAGTTCCTGCCATGAACTATGGGCCCAAGCAAATAAGTGTGTTCCCGATATATCACTTTGCTAAAGCTGATTCCATGGACAGATAAAAGCCAAGCCTCTCAGAGAAAAGAATGCCAGCTGGGGACTCTAGCAGGCCCCATTTCTGACCAATCTGACTTAAGAGTCTGGTAACACAACTGGTGGGAAGCCTGATACTATAGTTTCCCTCCCAATCTTTCTAAAAGGTATGGGTGTCTGTCCTTCATTACTGTAGCCCAGTGTCTCTCAACCCTGACAACTTTAAGATGTGTGGACTTCAACTCCCAGAATTCCCCAGCCAGCCATGTTGAGAAACACTGCTGTAGGCTAATATATACGAAACTGAAAATACCTGCAGGAATTCTTTGTTGTTATCCACATTAGGAGTCCATCCATTATCATCACTATTGAGTCGGCTCTGTTGTGGAGTCCACCTGCCATCAGAGTATGTAGAGGAAGCAGTGATCTGCTCATTGGAGATCCGGCCAGATTCCATTCCCAGTGGACTGTTGCACTGGAAGTCTAGAACAGGCAGAGTATGAAATTGAAGAGAAATCCTTCTATGGAATGGTGGGTTCCACTCCTAAATGAATCTGCCCCCAACTGCCTCCCAACATCCTATCAAATAAAATTGTTTGCAGCTGCTGAAATGCAGAATCACCTTTACAGGTCTGTAAATAAAATGTCAGCATTCGGAAGAAGAAATACAAATCCCTATGAAATACATTTTCAATGGTGGTGCAACTACTGCAGAGAGAAAACTATAGAATTTTGCATGAAAAGCTGGGAATTTTGCACTTTGCAAATGGAATAAATATTGTGGAAGTGTTCATAGTTGATTACCAAATCATCTCTAATGAAGAGTTTTTCTGCAGCATGTATATTGTCTATTATTTTAATTTTTGGAGTTTGACCTTGTTTTTGTTCTTATGGTAGAGAAGGAAAATTAGAATCAAAACATCTGTAGAGAGACTAAGTTTGTGTTGATCACAGGAGCTTACTTTTCATTGTAAGTCCCAAACAAGAAGAAATGGAGGAAGAACAAACAAACAACGTGGAACCCTCCCCTCCTTGAGGATATTACCAGGTATACTGGGGCCATCTTTGGATGGCATTTTGTTTTCTTTTTCTTTTCTTTTTCCAAAATTAAGGGTGGGAATGGGACCAAGAGGCTCTGAAATCAAAGTGTTTGGGGCTCATTTCAGCAATTTTTTTCTCCATTGCAAACTGGTGTTCTTGTGTCTGTATGGAGGGAGGGTGCTAAGGGTTGGGATGAAAGCTATATGCTGTCTGTCTGTCTATCTATGCCCATCCTTAACTCCTCCAATAGGTTGAATTTCCCACCCTTTCTGGTCACCAGATGATTTGTCCAAGAAGAGTGGGAGTGAGTTTGCTCTTGTTCTGCTTGAACAAGTCAACACTTGCTTGTCCAAACAGAGTAAGAATGCAATTTGACACACATACAGCTGGGACCTATCAGTCAGCTTGTTCAGGCACAGCAGGAATCCTGATAGATTGTGCTCCCGTTCTGCCTAGACAAAGCAGACCCTGGCTTGTCCAGGCAGAGCAGGAGTGAGTTCTGGGAACAATCCTCCTTTGGGTGTGCAAGTCCCTCCCAATTTGTGATCCTCACCATATTTACTCAGGACGTCTGGGGGTTGCAACCACAGTTTGGGAGCCCCTACATTATTACATTTTAAGGCAGCCAGATAAAGCCATCTCATTGCTCTCTAATCCTAAGCAAATGCTGATTGAGCCCTTAGTTTCCCTAATAGCAGGGCTGGCCTAGCTTTAGCTGGTGGCAATTTCCACATTTACCACAGTAAATACACAAGCCTTACTCTTGGATAACTAGAAGCTCCATGTTGTGTTTTTCATTTTCTAAACATGTCATAGGAGTAATAGAATATAACACATGACAGAAGAAAGGGCTAAGATCTTACAAAAGACAAAGAAACAACTGGTAACATTGTAAGCATTCAAATTCCTGAATTCCAAACATAGTTTTAAGTGCCTCCCTATACGAACAAAGTTCAAAGTAATTCTAACTCTAAACACCTTGATTTTGTAAGGAAAATGTTGAGATGTTAATGTTGTGTTTAGAATTTCTACAGCACTTTCAAATACTGGCACTGAAGCTTGGATCTTAGCTTCAATATTTCACATGGGGGGGCGAAAACAAAATATCATAAATAGATTACCAAATTTAAGGGGTGTAATAAAATTGAAATTCCAAATCTCAGTTATCAATGCTAAAATTGTTTAAATGTTACTTCTCCCCTCCAAGGGGAGAAAATATATCCAAATATAGATATGCTGTAGGTCTAGAGCAATGCTTGAAAATACTCAGATTGAATCACCTGCCAACTTACTCTCTGGCGCCTCCTGCTGGACCAAATAATAACGAGCTGAGAAGCCATCTTTAGCCACAGCCAAATCGGTGTGGAATGTGAGAGATAAGATGCCGGTAGTTGAGCGGATCTCTGAAAGGGTTTTAGTGCCACAGTACCTGCCGATCAAGGGCCCAACTGCAGAAGAGATGAAAGAAAAACACTGTTTACCAACTCACAGGCGTGTTCCCTCTTTGGTTGGAAAAGATGAAGAGGTAGACAGTTGAGGGAATAAATATGTCAACCAGATAAAATGAAACACGCTAAAGATTTTTCATTAAATAACACTCTTGATATATATTATGCCACAAATTTGCAGGAGCTTTTCTTTGCAGACAAGTCTTGAGATAAATAAATCTTGTGTTTCATACGAGTTGCATAACATGTCTACTTTAGACGTTGGTCCACAAAACCTAACAGGACACTTTTTAAAATTCCAGACTGCGTCCTAATTGATGAGGGATTTTAGATAAATAACTATACAACTTACCTGGAAATAAATCCCACTGCCCAAAATTTGGCATCTGAGAAGAAAAGGCATATGACTGCACAGTAACATATCTACAGTATATCAGTACAGTTCCCTCCCCGCACCATCACACATACCCTAATAGATATTCTTAGTCACAGAAAACAAACAGGAGTTTATATACTCATGAAAAGACTAATCTAGAGCTATTTACATTTTTAACACATGTAATTTCCCTGACATGTAAAATGATAATTGATGTGTTAATGGATAATATTTTTCAGCTCCTTTTCTGCATATAAAAATGTTATAATATTTATACGCAGAACTTTCCTATATGCAATTAAGCGTAGGGTTTTTTATTATTATTACTATTATCCTATTTTCTAACTAGAAGTTCAGGATACTTCAGTGGCTCAAAGATCTCACTTCCTCATCTAATTATATAAATCAGGTTACTGACTTGTCTAAAGTGATTTCACCATCATCTAAAATTACACCAACTCTGGAAGGCAGCAATGCTAGTGTAAGAGGCAAAGAAGAAATTTCATTTCCCTTCAGGGTTAGTTTCTGTTCCTTTCTAAGAACAAAGCAACAATATATGAGATTGCATGATGCAATGGCAATATTAGTCATTTATGATTGTTACAGAATTCTTCAGTTTCAAAATGGACAGTTCGCTTGACAATGGCCATCCAGAGAAGTAAACCCCAGCAGTGTATCCTTTGGCCCTTACCTTGAGGAATACCATCCCAGATGTCCAGCCAATCATATTTACAATCTCCCTCCCCAACTTGCAGAGGGTCATGCTCTAGGTCAAACGTTAAAAACTGAAGGACGATCTCCATTTTCGGCTTGGCCATGATTGTGAAAGCGCAGTCCAAATTGTGTGGATACTTATCCGGAAAGCCTGGGGATTCAATGGTGCCGTTTGAATTGGTGAAGTTTCTAGAACAATCTTCGGAGCCTACAGAAAGAGACAAGAAGGCCAAGGCTGAGCATTAACCTCAATAGCCAGTTCCCTTACCGTAGCCAGGCTGAGCTATGTTATTCATAAGCGTTCTTTTTAAGCACTTAAATCCCTCATGCAGAAAATTGCTCCTGCCTTGCAAAAGTATTAATTATTAATATCATTGTCCCCATTTCATTTTCCATCCAAGTGGCAATTCTCAGGGAAACAACACCTTCAGACTAGCAGCTAAAGCCTTGAAATATAGCACATCTTTAACCATAACTCAGTTAAGACTGTTTGGGATGGGCAGGGCCATGTGTGAAGGGTCCTAGTGAAAACAGAAACAGAGCTGCCTTTCTCCCTCATCCACGGTAATCATCAAAACTGAAATGCCAGTTATTTCTATCCTTAAGGAAAGCCTTTCTAACTGCCAGCCGTGGGGACAATATTACCATTTATTTAGGGATGACCCCAACACTGGCCCTCATTGTGCCACAGCAGCTAAGTGCCTTCTATTTTTTGCAGACACAAGGTGCCTTAGGGAGAAGGAGACCACATTCTCTTCAGGCTATGACTGCATTAAGGCTATTGCTCTGGAGAGAGCAGACAATTAACAATTGAATTCTCTAGGCTACGGGTCACTAAGACGAGGGAAGTGGGCAGAGAATGTTACAAGCCCCCCTGATTCCACAATTGTAGCAGAAGATTACCTTTCACAGATCTTGGGCTCTTTGCTTTTCCATGGAAAAGTTAATACAATTCCTATTACCACCCTAACAAACTTCATGGACCTTTGCTTCTCTTGAAGAAGCAGGGCTGGACTTAAACAACACGGGAGCAAACAAGCCTGTGGAAATCTGTTTAAATCAAATGTCTCAGAAAACAAGTGAGATTTAACTGGATTGCTGGACAACAGAAATTTTAATTTACCAGCCCTGAAACAGGCATCTGAAAACAAATAATCAACTCTGTTAACATTACAGACCCCACATAACTGGATTTCATTAAAAGACAGTGTCACACTATGTTTGAGAGTGTGTGTTTTGAACATTATGTTTTTTGGGGGATGAATTTTAAAGGGTTGTACTCCACAGTATAATACACATACAGAATTTTTAGGAATGTTAACATTTTTCCAGGGACTGACCAATATCCTTATCACTGAATGATGCTTTGATTCTAATAAATTACTTAATGGCCATATATGTTTGAATACAGACCTACAGAAACCACTAAAACCTTGAGATGCATTAATTGCAGCTACACCCAAAACACATTTTCTTTAAATGAAAAAACTCTTGAGCCCAGAGTCCCAGAGCTGAGATAACCAAAAGAAAAAGAAAAAAAAGTCCCCCCCTCCCAATTGTTTCTGTAGTTCCCTTCAATGATATTTATTTGAATACAAAACAGAGGGAGAGATTCCCCCCCCCCCAGTTGCTGACAGTGGGGAATTAGAATTCTCCGCTAATCTTCTTTTAATTTTACTTTATTTTAACATATATTTAAAAGTGCAGTCAAGAAAAAAGAGAGAACAAAGAAATAAAGGTTCAAAAATAAAGAAAATTTTTAATTCAAATCATCATGAAATCATGAAACCTCTGCATTTTGGCTACCACCACTTACCGATATAGCAGTACCCACAATATGCAGAATGGGGGTGAAGATCTGATGGTTAAGAATCAAGTAACATATTTAATAATCCCAGGAAGGAAGATAGCGGCAGAACAACTTTTGAAGAAGGGATTCAACAGAGACGTCCTTTACATTTACAGACTGCTGAATCTCTAAGGACCCTTGGTGGTTTACAGATAAGATACATAAGAAACAATATACAATAACAAAAAGTCCACAACTAATGAAAAACATAGAAGAAATTTAAATTAACCAAACCAAAGTATAATCAGACCAAAATGGGATCAAGGCCCAAATATCTTCTGGAAGAGCCGTATTTGGAGCAGCTTCTGAAAGGCAGAGTGGGAGCCAACTAGTATGTCTAAATGAGAGGTTATTCCAAAGAACAGGCACAGCCATTAAAAAGCAGTATGATCAAATTTGGCTCCCCTCACCTCCCTAAAGTGGGCACCATTAATAGTTTTTCTTGGGTAGTTCTAACCGATTGGGCCAATTCCAGTGGGAGAATGCAGTCCTACAAATAACTAGGTGTCCAGCCATGCAGGATTTTATAGGTTAGTGTTGGCACTTTAAATCACACCCAGAAGCCTGTTGGCTACCAGTGCAAGACCCACAGCACTGGTGTAATGAGGGGCAGAGATCCAGCCCACAAGTGGCAGAAGACGCCTTCATACCCTACTTAGTTTTATTGCTGAAGCCAAGCAGATCTGCCCCTGTGAAGAAAGAAGCTTGTATCAGCTGCTCTTAGGAAAAATTATAAATAAATAGCTTGAAAGGTTAGTTCATACTTGGTTTCCTGAACTGACAGTTATATCTACCCAGAAACTGCTTGGAGAAATATTGATTAAGACCGGCAGTCAGTTAGATGCATCTTAGTTGATTAATCACTAATCACCATCAACATAAAAATAAGACAATAGCTCTGAACTGTTATATTTAGATAGCAAGCATGTATTTTCCAATAGCACTGTCTTTACAGGGACAAAGAAAGCGCAGTGCCTCTGATAAAATGCTGCAGTTTTTGTGAATGCCTACTATCAATATAACGTCACATATGCATAAACCAGATTTACAGAAGAAATGAGCTTGACTTCTGACAGTCAGATTCTCTGAGTTACAAAATATGTTGTTTAATCCGCTCCAAAAGTAACCAGAAGTCAAGATGTGAAGTGTTAAATTAAACGTTTAAACCATTTATGAGCTAGGTGGTATAATGACAAATAAACCAAATAAAGAGAATCTAGCAGAAACAGAAAGAAGAAGCAACAATAAGGAGCAGTGAAACTAAAACCAACTAAGCCAAAAACTCAAGAGTAAAAATGCACTTTGCCTCCCCTTTCAAATATAATGAGGAGTTTACAGATGGAAATTCAAACCCCAGCCATGGGCAATTGACGCAAAGGCCTTGCTTTTTCTATAATAGTCCTCATTTTACTTAGAAAGGAAATTCAGAGGAAAGAAGAAAATTACAAGGCACTCGATGTAGGATTTAAGCCTTCCAGAGTTTCACGAGTAAGCATCACACTTCTACTGAACCCATACATTAAGCTGAGTCTGATAAATCAACCCCTTGAATTGAACTGTAACAATATCTGCTGAACAACCTTATATTGGCTAATATCTACAAAACGGAAGATTCTGAATGACCTTTGAAGACAATTGGACCACCTTCCCTTTGTGAAGGTTATGAATAGCATGGCCGGATCATCTCTGCCCCAAAAGAGGATGGACTGCACAGACAAGTATACCAGACAAGATACTTAGGGTAACCTGCTTACGAAACAACAAAGCTGAAACAATAAGATCTACTGAACTAGAGATGTTCTAAAATTATTTTCCAATTCCAGGATCGCTTCTGTGCTAATATCTATTCCGAATGCCCACAGACACATCAAAACAACTTACTTTTGCCAGAGTTTGAGATTTTCTGGCATTGGTATTATGGATAGTATTCATTCTCTGTATTCTGGAAATCTAGCAGCCTGTGCCCTCCACCAGAGCAAAATCATTAAAATTCAGATCTAGAAGAGTCATGTCAACCTCTTTCCTAACCTGATATAGGAGGTTTAAGAAAAAATTAAGCAAAACTGCATGAAATGTGCTACCACAGATTAATGAGCATAATCCAGCTGAGATAGAGTCCCCAAATCTGTATAATCTCTATATGCTTCTACCCTTCATTAAGATTTCTGGGCAAGCTAAGGATGTTTGCCTCATGCTCCTTTCAGTTCCTCACAGCATGTTTTCTCTTTTTTACCAGTGATATAATTCTGTGCATTTCCATTCTAAATATGAGCAATAGACCTTCATCCCATGACCACGAACTTTTTCTTGTTCAAGACCCAGCGAGCTGGGCCTCTCCCTGAGCACACAAAAGCATTGTCTTGCTCATGCCTGCAATGATGAAGCAAGACTATTTTTATACACCAAAATTTTCATCTCCAAACCCTCTGATCTGGCAAATAGTTAGACAGAGCCAATGTAAAGGGGCACTGATTCACTTTCTCCAAGAGTAGGGTTTTGTAATATAATTATTAAAAGAGCATTCTGAATAGTTTCCCTTTCTGTGAAGCTCAAGAGGTTCCCCTGATGGCACTGCCAACAGAATCCCACTTAAGCCAGCATTACACCAGCTACAAAATCCCTGGCTTCTTGAAAAAAGAAAACACAAGGCTACTGATCAGTGCTGGAACTGCATATTCATGAGGAGGCAGGATGGGAAGAGAGGACCATTCTTGCTTAGCCTTGACTTTAACAAGCTTTTTCTATATGACACTTTAAAAAGATATGCTCTTTGTAATTCTGGAATAAATTAGATCATTTAATGAAGAAGCTGCTTTCCCTTAGAAATCAAAATACCTTGTCAATATGCCATAAAATACTTCACTTCTTGAAAACGTTGATGAAACAGATTTGGTAAGGGGAGCAGAACCGAGGAAAAATTAATGTGGAGCTTAATAAGGAGATTCTCATATGAGAAGACTGTCAGCTCTGAGAACCGTCTCCCCAAGCCTGCCAAGGAGAAAAGCCATCAACACCTTCTTGAAGCAACTCAAGCGACAGAACCATCACCTCTTCCCCAAAACAGTGAAACCTGGAAACAGTTTAATAATCAGCTAGACAGGACCTCTGAATTTCCAAGAAGGAACTGAACAAAGGCAGTCCAACATCCTGCCTTCAGTAGGGCCATTAACAACTTTTCCCTTTACTGGTGAGTAGAAGTGTAAATTTGCAATGCCATCTCATGGACAAGAGCAGTTCTTCTCATCAAAAGGAACTTACAACTTTGAGTTAAGGTGAATTTCTAATTTCAGACTAGTGGTCTACTGTGCATAAAGTATAAATAATAATTTAGCATTTTCCAGGACAGTAGAGCATAGATTATTGTTCTAAAACAGATCACAAAATCTATTTTAGTTTCTGATAGAATTGGCTTTCTTTTTCAGGGAAGCCGTACACTCTTGAAAAAGATTTGGTTGTAGATTACATTAAAATCTCTCTTTTTCTCCATCAGGAACTCAAGATGATAGAGAGAGGGATACAACACAGTCCTGGCCGGGCTCAGAACTTTTGCTTTCAGTTCAGACCATCACCAGGGAATTGTTGCAAAGGGAATTCATATTGCCTATTAATATACTCAAAACATTGCCCAGCTGAAAGAGGCTTAAGAATTTGGCTGGGAGAGCTGATGGACACTGACCCGTCTTGTAGATTTCATAACGCAGGGAGAAGCCAGCACCTTGACGCGCATAGTCTGAGGTGAATTTGATATACAGAGAAGGGCCGGATGAAGTGATAGTAGGTGGAGCGATGTTTCCACAGTGCTTTCCCAGAAGATCAGCATTTTCACTATCCCCGTCCCGTATTTCAATAAAATCATACCTGTCAATGGGATAAGGGAAAAAAGAATAACATTAAGACAAAGACATCCAGGAAAAAAATAAATACCTCTACATTTTCACAGGCATTTTATATTTAACACATAGCAACTGATCTTGTGTGACAAAGCCAGTTTCCTATGGCCCTGATCCTTCATGCAACAAATGCGCTACATTTTAATCACCTAACACATTCTTGTAGTGCTCCATCATCAGTACTGTGCTGTCAAATTATTCTGCTGAACAGAAGTCACTGCATACCATCCGAATAGTTTGACAGAAATAAAATTCAGAAAAGTTGCTTTTCAGTTCATTTATTGAAAATACTTCAGTATCTAAATATTTTGATGTCCTGGGACTCACTGTGATAAACATATTGTATCCCTAGTGCATAAAACACAGAGAGCAAAACAGATTTCCTCACTTTTTGACCTTTCCATTTACTTATGTATTAAAAAAAAATGTTTTACTTATGCTTTGCTATATTCTGAGCTTGTTATCTTTGCTGATTTTTATTGTGTGAAAAAAATATTAATAACTTGGAGGATAGGAAACACATTTTCAGGTAGTGAATACTTGACAGTGAAAGAATATTTGCAAATGTATTTATTTAACTTGTTTCTTACATTTGTTAACATGCAAACATGGCTATAACTCTTATAATTAATCAGGCAGGAAGCAATCTTCATTTCAAATTATGAGAATCCTATCTGGTATATTGAGCCAGGATTCCTCATTCTTTATTTAATTAATTAAATTCATATACTGCCTGACTCCCAGTGACTTCAGGGGCTTTGGGCCCCTAAACGATATACATGTTCATGGGGAATGAATATAAGGTAAAATGACTTTTGAAATGTTAGTCCATTCTTAATGTTATGTTTGGATGCCCAAACCTAGGGCAGTGTGGCAATAGCTTATTCTGTTTTTCTACCTTTCCCAAAATTGTTAGAGATCAAATAAGAGCCTGCCCACCCCCCAACCTCATATTTTGGTTTCATCAGACGACTTCCCAACCTAGAAAACAAAGAAGAAGGAAGAGCAATGTGGGTGGAAAATGGGGAGATGGTTCATCACACTCCATGCATTCATCAAAGAACCTGCCCCATAAATCTAGCTGGGATATGGGGCTAACCCTGCTCTGGTTGCCTTCGGGAATGACCTGTGCTGAGAATAAGCCATTGCTATTCCTTTTGGACTTCTTATGGCTACATACCACTGACCGCAGCATCCTTTTGGACTGTCTGGCATGTCTGGGTTTTGGTGATTCTGTTTAACTGCAGTTCTGTCCAGAAAGTGATGTTGGAGGACTAAAGAACGCCACCCTCTCCCAATGCCATTCAATATCTAAACAAAGCCACTGGGAGAGTCATGGGAGCTTGCAAAGAGATGTCATGAGGACATTAATGACACCTAGTCCTTTGAATGGTGCCCAAGTTTAGTAATGGAGAGGATGGGAGTAAACAAATCGAAAGAAGTTTTCAGATAGTTCCAGAATATCCTGACTAGATTAATCTCAAACATTGACTGTTGTTAAATAAAAGAGAGAGAATGATGTGTCTGGGGCAGTTGTGGCTTGCTTTAAGAGCACAATGGGTTCGTTGCTGAGGTTAGTCTGAAGAGGAACTTAGCAACTTATAGCTTATTCATCCTATAAGACCTTTTCCCACTCCATTTTCTTCCTCTTCCTGTAGATCTTTCTCACAGTTCTTTCCTGTCTTGCCCTTGAAAGTATCCCTTTCCCTATGGCTGTTTCTTCTCCAGGCCATGTCTAAGTTCTAATCACATTCTACTCTTCTCACGAAAATTCAGGGCTGAGGATGATAGGGTTGTCAATCTGAAAACAAAATTCGATGGAGAAGTCTGAAATGATTTTCTTGCTTCTCAGCATTACAATTACAATTTCCCTCTGTGTGTATGGAGGCAAGGCAAGCTTGAAGATATACTATATTTTGGTTGCTTTGTTTGAACAGACTTGTGATTCCTGACATGAACTCTACCCTTAATTTGTACTACCATGTAGCTACATGTTCAGAATACATTTACAGGAAACTGCCCATTCCCTTCCTTTCATTTATTTGCATTGGGTTAACCTGTTAAAAAACAGCATGTTACCCCTCTCCCTCTCCTTGGAGGAGGAGGAGGAGGAGGAGGAGGAGGAGGAAAGAAAAGTGATACATTGTCAGGCTTCTGGCTTTGTCACAAGATCCCTTATTTGTGAATCAAGATCCGAAAGGAAAAATAGCATGTTGGGCATGAAATGACTCTCATGTGACTCATTCCTTTCCCACAAGGCACGCATTGCCAAACAACTACCCTAAACAAACTTATAGGAACTCAATGTGCTACCAGCTAGACTCTGAGTAGTCTTTCATATCACTCCTTTCTAGGAGTCAATCAGGCTGCACTCCAAAAACAAATGCCTGAGGCAATGATACCTTCTATCTATAGGCTCAACCTACACACTCGGCTAAGAAGGCCTTGCTGCAGCCAAGTCTTGCAATCCTGCTGGGCTAGTAGTAAGATCCCGTCCTCAGCCTGCCAAAAGAGAAGGGCAAGGGGTGTCTTTCAAGTAGCGAGGAGAAAGGCAGGATTGAATGCCAGTCTTAAATAGTTATGCTCTACCCACCTAGGAAAGGAGCCAAAGAGAGAGGTGTTTGTAGGACAAAGAATAAGGCAACAAGGAAGACTTCTTGATACTGAATGCTGCTTTTTGAAAGGCAGGAAGAAGAGGGGCACTGGAAAGGGGCAAGGGCTGTGGGGCTGGTGCAAATCTTCTTCAACCACCAAGGAAGGAAGGAAGGAAGGAAGGAAGGAAGGAAGGAAGGAAGGAAGGAAGGAAGGAAGGAAGGAAGGAAGGAAGGAAGGAAGGAAGGGGATTTTTTCAAAGACAGACCAACTTTTCACATCTGAGAACCACTACAGACCACCAATACTATAATACAAGTCTTAAAATAGGCACATTCCTGTTAAAGAACTGATAAGTGTTCCAAAACTCCTTCCCAAACCTGACCCCCTCCATTTTGAGGCATCCACCCCCCCCCCAGTTAAGTCTGGTGCCTGGCCACTAAAAGGTTGCCTTCCCTACCACAGCTGTAGGATAGGTATAATGCAATCACATGTATCACATCTGCACACTACTTAACTCTAAATTATTTGGATTATAGCCAACACTCACAAACACACACAACACACTACCTACTCAAATCACTCTACTGCAGAATAAAGGCCTGAACTATCATCTGCTATGCTGGTCCAGTACATGTCGGTAGACAGATGTTTTTTTACTCCCTAGTCTAGGGCTTAAAATCATCCAGCCAGATTCCATACCTACAGGAGAACTACAACCTGACTCTCCCCATTCCTAGACTAGCGCCTTACCACTACACCAATCTGGTTCTCATATGTCTCGATCTTTCCCTACAGATAGATTCACTGACTGAAAGCTGAATACAGCAATGCAGATTGGTAATGTTTTTTCCATCTTTATATTTCTGAAACTTTCTTTTTTTAAAAAAAAAAATGTTTTAGGACAGAGCTGGGATTGGAATTTGAAACTATGGTTGAATATGTAAAAGGAGGCTGTGGGATCTTCAGATCCAAAGCTATAGATGAGCAATGGCTTTTTTAGAAAGAGTTCAACGTTACACCTCCGCATGAACATTTTATATGTAAAATCAGTATGGTATCTTTTGATACACCAAGTTCCACACTTAGATACAAATAGAAGTATGCTGTATGCACCATTCAGTGTTTCATCTGCCAGCATATAAAATTCATTTGAAATTAGCTGTAATAAACTACTACATAAAATCACATTTTCCCTGAAGTGAAAACTGTCATTTGTTCTCAAATAGGTATGATATGAAGTTTCTTGGAAAAAGAAGACAAACTGCATAACTGGTTTTCTAGAAATTATTTAAGAAAGCAGTACATTCCTTACAATGTAATCTGGAACCTGTATAATTCCTTCCAATTATATATGGAATACAATTGTCACTGCAGACAATAAGTCTTGGTATAGAATTTGCTAGTTACTTATCATAATTTTTGGGAGTATTAAGAAGTAGTGCTTTACAGGTAGTCCTTATTTAGCAACTGCCTCATTTAGTGACCATTCACAGTTACGATGGTGATAAAAAAGTAACTTTGCAACCAATCCTCGCATTTATGATCTTTGCGGGTCTGTAAAGCAAAGGAAAGCTGAAGTAAAATCATAAGCAGGCTCACAGCTTCACTTAGCAACCACTTCATTTAACGACTGAGTGGTTGGTCTTAATTGTGGTAGCTAAATGAGGAGTACTTGTATACAAGAACAGATGATGCAGGAATCCCTTAAAAGGGATGATCCATCTACAAGAATGCCCAAAATATCCCTTACGTGATCTCTCTACACCATGCAGAAGCAGCACAGCAACAGCAGAATTTGTTAATATATTGAGCACCTTTGAGTTTAAGAGAAAAGCTATCTATTGTATAAAATAAACATGCATTCATAAAATAGGAGTATTAGTTTTCAATATTATATTTGTTTTTCTGGGACTAAACTGTACTGACCTCCCCAAGTCCTGTTAATCTGCCTCATTGTGGAGTGGTGTGGATGTTCCTGGGAGGAATGAACAAAGGGTGGGCCAAATTATCCTAATCTTCACCTTATGTGAAGATCTAGCTCACTGGAGAAGGCTCCAGTGCTGGGAAAAGTGGAAGGAAAGAGAAGAGGAGGACGACCAGCAGCAAGGTGGATAGACTCAGTTACACTGGTGATAGGCGCACCATTAGAAGAGCTGAAAGACCAGATCAAGGACAGATGATCATGAAGAAAATCTATCTAGGTGGTTGCTAACAGTCAACACTGACTCAGTGGCACATAATCAATCAAACTGCTGAATTCAAAGAGACTTAATTCCAATTTGGCAAGTAGAAAATGTTTGGAGCTAATAGTTTGTTGTTTGTGTTTTCATTAGATATGAAAATTGGTTTCAGGACACTGGGAGCACTTTAAGA